ACTCACCAGTGTGGCTTCTGGGACAAGGGCTTAAAACTCTCATGCCATTATTTTCCTCCCTTTACATCATGGCAAACATGGTAATTAAGCCATATAATGTTTATGAGACCACACTCAGCTACAACTGATACAACTCAGCAGGTCACAGACCTGACACGGTTTCTTCTTCCAAAAACTGCTAATGGTAGGTTCTTGGTCCAAGCCCATAACTCTTTACCAACTGTCCGTTGTTAGAGAATCTTCCTCTGGTTCCTTAGGGGTAGGGTTGTCTATTTTTAACTTCAAGCTCATGTCCTAGTCACAGCTCTCCTAGACCTGAGCTGTGGGACACCAGGAATGATTACTCACTTCTCTGTCTGCCTCAGACTTAGTCCTCCTTGGCATGGGGGTGCAGAACAGTTGCTCCCCCAGGTGGGCCACCCCTCTCAGGCTGGCAAGGTTGCTGCTCCACCAGGTTGCTTTTCAATGCTTCTCGGAAGTCTGCCCCGCACAGCCTGCAGGTGCTGCTTCTCCAAAGGGCCAGGCAGAGCTTCCTCGCGCCACCGTCACTGCTTGGGGCATTGGTTCAGCCCCAGCCTGTCCCACATCACCCCCACCAGAGGCAATGCCCCTCAACTTACATATCTTCTCATCATCTCACCCAAGAGGTGGCCTTGTAACGAGAGGCAGGGTGACATGCCAACTACTGTGTTTCCCCGAAAATAAGACCTACCCATAAAATAAGCCCTAGCAGGATTTCTAAGCATTTGCCCAATAGAAGCCCCACCCCAAAATTAAGCCCTAGTGCTGGGCGTGGCTACGCAGCGCATCTGCACAACCCATGCGTTTCGTTGCAGGGCGGTAAAGAAGACGAGCAGCCCTTCTCATCTGCCCCGTGAGAGCTCTAGTGCTCCACAGGAGAGATTGGGGCCGATGGTTCTAAAGGAAATAGAGTCGCAAGAAATTCAGGATGGAATTCGGGGTTTGGAGAGTGATGATGATGTTCCAGAAGAAGACGACTTAACTATATGTGAACAAATGTAGATTGTTGTACTGTGCTTAAAAAAAATAACACATCCCCTGAAAATAAGCCCTAGGGTGTCTTCTTGAGGAAAAAAAATATATAAGACCCTGTCTTATTTTTGGGGAAACACAGTAGAAAAACAGTAGATGGTCTAAGTCCAGCCACTCTCACCGTGACCATCACAGAAACTTACAGATTTTCGAATGCAGGCAGTGGGTGTTTAGACCCCCACACCTCCACGGCACCCTGCCCTCAGCCCCTCCTTCCCTGCTCCTCCCTCTGCCCCAGCAAAACCCACGCTCCACACAGCAACTCTCAGGCCACACCTGAGCCTGATTTAGAGAGGTCTGGGAATGGCGTGTCCAGTCTTACAGAGAGAGGGGGAAAGGACACCTTGAGTGTTTGCACCCCCCACAGGGAGAGAAGAGGAGGGGGATGGGTGACAAAAACAGCAAGTGCCAAACTCGCTAAAAAACATGACAGTTGGTGGTAATGCATTCAAAGGGGAACCTGAGAGAAAAGGCTAAATGAAGTAGTTTGGAGTAACATGACATTGAAAATTAGATGTTGTTAATTAAAGTGTTACAACATGTAACAAGAAGACACTCAAACCATTTCACAGGGGAAAAAAGAGAGAGAGAAAAGCAAAGAGAATAAAGAAGGAAAGAAAAGAAAGAGAGAAACAAAGAGAAGGGGGGAGAAAGAGGGAGGAAGAAAGGAAGAAAAGAGAGAAGGAAGGAAGGAAGGAAGGAAGGAAGGAAGGAAGGAAGGAAGGAAGGAAGGAAGGAAGGAAGGAAGGAAGGAAAGAAAAGAAAGGTAAGAATGTTAGACTTTGGTCTTTTCAGCACTGATTATTCTTTCCATGTTTATAGGCAACACCATGATTGGGCATTTGTCACAACAGAGAAAACAATTGTAGAGGATCCTAATAAAAGTCCTATAACCCACAGGGTCATAAATCCTTAGTAATGAATTTTCCCTGAGCAAACAAGCACCGGGACCATTGGCATTCTCAGCCCCGGGAGAGCTGACATTTCGGATTAGCAGAAATGCACATATACACGGTGCCTCCTTAAGCTTTCCTGCTTCTGTCCTGAAAGACAACTTTGAAAGTTAACCTCTTAGAATATTTGAATTCTAAACCTATTCAACAAAACTCAATCATTCCTGTGTTTTTCTGTGAAGCTCTAAAAAACCATTCTTTTTCTCTATATTTGCCAATGAACGGCTCTGTTCCCAGTTGGCCGAGAAAAGCCACACAAGCTGGACACTACACAGGAGGGCGTGCTGAGGCCCCTTGTGCCACCCTTGGGCCACTGTCCCTCTGAGGCTACAGGGGCTCAGAGAAGCTTCACAAGTGACTGTTGCAGGTAAACCTCCTCTTTCACCACCTTTGTGGACACCACCTTTTTCAATGAGGGAGTCCTAGGTCAGATTCCACCCATTAACTCGCGCTGCAGTTTCTGCTAAGCACCTGCATTTCACTTTTTAACTCAAAACCCTTGGGGTTCAGGCAGCAGCGCTTCGCAGGTTTAGTGGAGAGCCACCTACAGTGTCTTCCGGTTCTGATGTTTACCTTCTTGGGGCGCCATCTAGTGGCCATAAGGATAACCTGGTGCTCCCATGCCCCAGAGCCCCTTTCTGGCCCTGCGTCTTTTCTCCACAGCTCCTAACCAAATCTCTGAATGGCCAGTTCTCCATTACCGAATTTTCCAAAAACCGACTCACTGAATACATTTTTCCCAACGACCAATCGTCCCACCACTTTCAATTGCGCCTGATAAAAATCGCTGGATCCTTTGGACCTGCAAAGGGGCACGAGGAAGACATGGTGCAGGGGAGCGGGGGTGCGGAAGGGTAGGGAGAAGGACCAGCAGGGAAGGACCAGGCCTGGGAATGCAGAGGGCAAAGCCTAACTCTGGGGCTGGGGTGGGGCGGGGAGGCAGGTTCAGGCGCTACAGCAAGATCAGGGGACCACTGGGCTCAGTGGCTCACGCCTGTAATCCTAGCACTCTGGGAGGCCAAGGTGGGCGGATTGCTCGAGGTCAGGAGTTCGAAACCAGCCTGAGCAAGAGCAAGACCCCGTCTCTACTATAAATAGAAAGAAATTAATTGACCAACGAATATATATAGAAAAATTAGTGGGGCATGGTGGTGCATGCCTGTAGTCCCAGCTACTCGGGAGGCTGAGGCAGGAGGCTTGCTTGAGCCCAGGAGATTGAGGTTGCTGTGAGCTAGGCTGACGCCAGGGCACTCACTCTAGCCTGGGCAACAAAGCGAGACTCTGTCTCAAAAAACAAAAAGATCAGGGGATACAGTAGCGGCCCCGGCAGGCATCAACCTGCACAAATACAGGTGACAAACTTCACGTAAGAGCAACCTCATACTCACCAGAACACTGGGCGCTGGGGATATGCCTGGATTGGAACTATGTACCAGGTGTTTGTGACAAAACACAGCAGCAAAAATAACATGGTGATGACACAGGGCACTAAAAGTGCTGAAAACTCCTTTATTCACCAGTCTGGACATTTGATGAGTCCATTTTCAGCAAATTCATCATTTGGCACGAGATCTGCCAAATGTAGAGCTTCAGTGGCTGGGCCACTCTCTGCATTTAGGCATAAGGGCTAACAGCAGCAATTACATAAACCAGCTCCTTAACCACTTCGGGACCAGCGTCGACTGTAGTGGACAGCCACAGATGGACGCGCACAGTGACTCTAGCCGACAGCCGTGACATGACTTTTCTAATTTTTCATTTATCAAAATAACATTGTGAACATTTAAAAATAACGTAATGAAAACATATATGTATATGTTACTTATTCTGACATTTACATGACAAGCAAAGCTGCCTGTAAAGTAAAACAAGCTTTCCGGGCTTTCAAGCTTTCCTCATCACACAAGAGCAGAACAGACTCGTTGTCAATGCACAGCACAGACCACCGGGCGGACTGTGAGTGCCGCTGTGGGCGAGGCTTCCCGCTGTGGGCGAGGCTTCCCGGCTGGTGAGCCTCGCACTGAAGTGGTTAAACCAGAACTCCCCACAGGGTGTCACCCTGAGTATCTGAAAAAATTCCTCACCCACCACCCTGGGGTGATGTTTGATCACCTTGGCCAGGTGAGACAGAATTCCTCTCCTGTCATGTCTCCCCCTAGAAATTTGCTATCCTCAGTTACCCCACCCCACGCCTGGGCTGTAACCCTGTTCTTTCCTTGTTGTATTGGGAGTTGAGCCCAATCTACACACACACACACACACACACACACACACACAGCAAAACCCCACTAGCAGTGGTCCCTGCAGCTGCGGCCATGGTCCTGCAAGAAGTCTTCGTGACCGTTTTAACAAATATCAGAATAATTTTCCATACATTTCATACATTATTTCATACATTATTATATGCATTTCATGCATATATAAATATGCATCTCCCAAGAGAAGGTTTTTTTCTGGCCACGTAACGGCAAAATTTCAAAAACACCCAATTAAAGCTTCTAATCCAACTGCACACAGATAGATGCACACTCTGACTAGCGGTTGACCAGGCCTGTTTTCCGCCGCCCCAGAGGCGGGAACAGTTCCTGCCCATATTAGGGGCCCGACCTGAGCGGGACTCCCTCCCCCACACCACACCCCCTACCGCCCCAGGAGCCAGAGACACTGACCCTTTGGAAAGCTCCAGTTACGTCTCTTTTGCCAGCGATCTTCAGGCTCCATTCCCTGCGAGCAACTTGGATAAACCAGAACCGGACACGCGCGGCCGGCTCAGCCGCAATGCCCCCCGCCGTCGGGTCTCCGGCCGGAAGCCTCCCCGACGCGGGGCGCCTGCAGGGGAAGGGGCGGGCGCAGGCGGCGGCCGGCGCGGAGGATGCACGCGGGGCTTCTGGGGCTCTCGGCCCCGCTGCAGGCGGCCGAGCAGAGCGCGCGTGAGTGCGGCGCCGCCAGAGGCTGGACGCGGGCCGTCCACCCCCAACCCTCCCACCCCGCGCGCCCACCCAGTGTCCGGCGGATGCCCACGGATGCATGACCCTCGCGGATGCGTGACTTCCCCCCATCCCTGCACGATCCCTCGTGGATGCATGGCTCCCCCCAACGGGTGCACGATGCCACCGCGGATGCCCCACCCCTGCATGGTTCCCCAGCTGGTATGTGGCTTCCTCCACCCCTGCACGATCCCAGGAGGTGCATGGCTCCCCACTGCGAATGCACTACAACACCCGCCCCTCCCCCCCCGCGGAGCCAGGGTCGAGTACCCCGCCCCTCCCTCCAGGGAGTTCCTCCCTCCAGCGGGAGTGTTGCAAAGTGTCGTGGCTGCGGGATGCGCTGAATGCGGTTCTGGCTGCGCCCCTAGTCTCCCCCCCGCCCCTGGACGCCCAAGGGACTCCGCGGCTGGCAGGAGGGGTGGCGTGGCGGGAGCAGGGGCCAGGGATCCGCGCACACGCGGCCTCGGGGTTTAGGACGCGGCCGGCCCAGACGCAGCAAGATGGCCCCGCTGTTCGCGCCGTTGTCGTTTGAACCTGTAACTCTTTAGGTGCCGGAGCGGTGTCTCCGCCCACTTCCGCCGGGCTCCCTGGGGAGGGGCGTGTCTTCCTGGGCGGGGTCCCTGGGGAAGGAGAGAGGACCTTAATGAGGCTCCAATATCTAGATCCTCGAAATGCCCCGCGCGCTCCTCCGCACGCCCTCGGAGACCGGCGGGCGCCGGCCCGACCTTCACTCGTCGCTTGCACCCGCTGTGCCCAAGGCGCGCCGGCGAGCCGCGCACGGGGAGGAGCCGGCGTGACGTCGGTCCCAAAGCGTGGCCGGCTCCGGCGCTCCAGCCGGGAGGGGCTGAGTCTAGACAGGACCCCCGGGTGTCGAGGCACCCACCCCGGATGGTCGCGCAGATGCGTCCTCCCCTTCTCTCCCTGCCCAGGACGGCCCGGGCCCCAGCATCTCCTGCCCGGCAGGGCGGTGACTTCTCCGAAAGCTTTTTCCTCCCCGGAGACCCTGGTGGGTCAGGTGTGTCGCAGGACGCTCAGGGACGCTAGAGCGCTGGACAGAGCCTAGGGACCAAGAATGGGCTGCCTGAGCCCTGACCCCCTTTCCCCAGAGCTGCAGGGTTCGCAGGTGCTCCTCAGGGCGGCACAGCCTGTGCACATGAGTCCACTGACATCTCTGCTGGAAAACCCACCTAAGAGTCTTGGGACAGAGTGCCTATACCGCGTCTGCCAGCGCACCCGCCTGCGTTGTCACCGCATACAGTCCTCAGGAGTGGGTGGCACCACCACGGAATTGTTGGGGGCGGGGGGGGGGACTAAGTGAGTTTCCTCATGTGAAAGGCAGCCAAGGGGTGTCTGGTCTGAGCACTCTGGCAAGCCTGGGCGCTGTTTCAACTCGCACCTGTCTCCATTGCCTGCTGCTCTTCGGGCCCTGGGCTGGATAGAGCCCAGAGTCTTGCTGGCAGCGGGGACTTGGTTGGTGACTATTGTTTCGTTTTCATTTTAATGCTTTGGTCAGTCAGATGTGGTCACAAAAGGAGACTCAGGAGAGGCTCAGGAAAGCAGAGCCTGTCAGCCCCACAGGTCTCAGGACAGGAGGCAGGGCGCCACGCAGGGCCACACAGGAAAGACACTAGGGAGGTCAGGAGGCAGAAGGCAGGAAGGTAAGGCACGAGCCATTGCTGGGGTTTCCTCAGAAAGAGGCAGCACAGGGTGAATAGTTGAGAACTGGCCAGTTTTAATACCGTGTTTCTCCTAAAATAAGACCTATCCATAAAATAAGCCCTAGCAGGATTTCTAAGCATTTGCGCAATAGAAGCCCCACCCCGAAAATAAGCCCTAGTGCTGGGCGTGGCTACGCAGCCCATCTGCACAACCCATGCGTGTCGCTGCGGAGCGGGAAAGAAGACGAGCAGCCCTTCTCATCTGCCCCGTGAGAGCTCTACTGCTTCACACGAGAGATTGGAGCTAATGGTTCTAAAGGAAATAGAGTCACAAGAAATTCAGGATGGAATTCAGGATTTGTAGAGTGATGATGATGTTCCAGAAGAAGATGACTTAACTATATTTAAATAAATGTATATTGTTGTACCGTACTTAAAAAAGATAACACATCCCCTAAAAATAAACCCTAGGATGTCTTCTTGAGGAAAAATAAATATAAGACCCTGTCTTATTTGGGGGGAAACACGGTAATTCCAGCGGACTTTGGGCCGTAAGGGTGGTCCCCAGCTGCCCGACACCTGGTGGTGGGACGTGCAAGGCAGAGCCTCCTGGGGATGCCGGCCAGGGGCAGGAGGTGTGGCTGGGGTGGATTAGTTTGCACACTAAAGGTGTGCTCCTGCTGGGCCCTTTGCTACCTTAAAGAATTAGCTAGCCCTGGGAGGTGCAGCGTCTCCCCAGCCAGGAAGGTTTTTAAGATGTCAAAAACATCGGACATACAGAAAATTTAAAAACGTTTACAGAGCAGTTACCCAGTCTCACACCATCCTTCCAATAACCAGCTCGCCACTCTCTCCCTAGGCGTCTACGCAGTGGTTTACTGCTTCACCACAGGACGGCTGCTGTGGGGGTGGCTGGCACTTTCTCTCTTCCTGCCCGGCTTCCTGGTGCAGGGCCTGAGCTACCTGTGGTTCCGGGCAGATGGGCGTCCAGGGCGCTGCTCGCTGCTGCTGCTGCACCTCCTGCAGCTTGGCGTCTGGAGGCGGTAAGGACAGCGGCCTCCTTTCACCTCAGGAGCATGAGAGCGTGTGTGGGCTGGGAGGGTCTTCTGCCCCTGGGAGGTCCATCCTCAAGGTCCTGAAAGTTCGGGACTGGAAGAAGGTTCTCAGACCCCCTCTCTGATATTGGCATCCCTTTATCCAGCCTGCGCTTCCTTGAGAATCTCTTAACCAGGGGGCTTTTTCTGGATGCAGCTGTGACCTTACAAAACCTTTTTCTTCAGTCCAATTCTGATTTACTATTTCCATTCATTGGTCCAGCCTTTAGTGCCACTTGCTTAAGGCAGTTCCAGTTACACACCTGCTCGCTGCTGCACCTCCTGCTACAGACTGGACACTGAAGCCAGCCAGGTGACATTTGTGTCAGGCTTTTGTTGCAAGAAGGAATCATTTGGAAGCCAGGGCACAGTTCTTTTCCATAAAGAAGCATTCAGGGATGGGTCTGGGGCCTGGCAGGCTGACCTATGGTCCCCAGGCCACCTCTGCAGGTGAGGGCTCATTTTCACTTGGAGTATCTGGACACAGGAAGCTGTCAGAAGAGACGTGGCAGTGAGTTGACACCAACGGCACATTTCAGCTCTGAGCAACATCATGACCCCTTAGGGTTGATAGGAATTTTTTAAAGGGAGAAAAATTTGGGGATCAGATCAATGAAGCCCTGCAGCTCCAGTGGTTATTAAATCGTAGACCCCCGCGGTTTGGAAGACTGTTAGAGGAGTCGTTGCCAGACGCTGCTCTGTGTTCTGGGGTTTATGCCTTCATGATACTTGCAAGGCTTTCTCTGGAGGTGCTGAAATGAGCCTGAGGTCTGAGCCCCATGAGGAGAATCTCAGAATCTCAGAGTAGCATCTCTTCTGAAAAAAGACCAAGCAATCACTTCCAGGCTCCCTGGGCCCCCAGAGTTGGAGCCTGAATCTCCAACGGCAGCAAAGTCACATGCAGCTGCAGCCATTTTGCCGAAACTGGGACTCTGTGTGCAAGCAGTGCCCTTCCTCTGAAAAGACAGGACCCCGGCTACCGGGGAGACAGCAGAGAAGGGTCTTGTCGTCGGACTTGTAGGATTAGAGGCCCCCCTGCGTGCGAGCTGCCATTTCCGTTCCCTGCCCTGGTCACCCAGTCCTGTTGTAAGTCTGTAAAAGCTGTGGCTTTGACTACAGCAGTCAGAAAGTAGGAGACCTGGAGGACAGACAGCCCATTGAAAAAGTGAGTCGGCTACCGCAAGCAAACGTTCGGGAGCTCAAAAAGAGAGGTGAGCCAGTAACTTGGAGGAGCTTCCTGAGGAACCGTCAGATAAATCTGCCTTCTGAGACTCTGTAGGGACGTCCCCGCCCCATGTAATCCCTCCTTGCCTTCCCCAGGTGTTCACAGTGGAAGTACAGGTTTGTCTTCCCCATGAGCTCGAGAAACTTCTTCGGTGATGCCGTGATTCCTATATTCCGTGATTCGTATATTTAAAAACTAATTGGAATAATCTGATATATATTAAAGAACTAATAGGGATAAGTGGAGAGAGACATGGAAATTAGAAATTGGTAAAAACTAGTCATGTATCTGTTCTTATTTTCAGTAAAAAGTTAAGGTGACTAAAAAAATACACATAATTTTAAAAGACAGAAAAAAAGAGAAGTGAGAAGAGCCAGGGAAAGGGACAAAATGTCAGAAAACAGGATAAAGCCAGAATGTACAATTATTAGGGATGGGCCACAAATTTGGCTTTAAGCTTTATTACAGCTTTATGCAAGCATAAGAAGCCACATGGTTTGCAATGTTGTTGAGATTAAAAATAACCCAAAAAGCCAGAAATCTACTTACTTAGAGGAAAGCTTTGAAATTTAAAATAGAAAGCAATGGATCTATTCTTCATTCTGAAACCAGCACATTTGGTTCTCAAACACACACACACACACACACACACACACACACACACAAACCCCCGCTGTGTAGGGTCATGTTTTTGAGCAAATCCAGTTTTGCAAATTGCAGTTTGGCAGTATCGCCTCTAGGGGGAGCCAAAACAACTGCGTTTTGCACAATCCTGACTTTCCATCGAATGGATCCCACAGAGTGATTTCTCAGCCACATGCAACAGCCTAACTGGGGACTCTGGGTGACTCTAGTGAAGACATGGGGTCTTTAGAGTGCTGCATGTCTCTAACAGAAAGGGTGCCGTAGTCTGGCTCCATGTCACGGTGCCCTTTGCTCTTTAGCCACTGGGAGGCTGCTCGGACCGCACTGTGGAAGGACCGGGAGGCTCCACATCTGGACCAGCTGTGGCTGCAGGAGGCCGACCTGTCGGCCCTCCGCCTCCTGGAGGCCCTGCTGCAGACCGGGCCCCACCTGCTGCTGCAGACATACATCTTCCTAGCCTCAGACTTCACAGACATCGTGCCTGGTGAGTCGCCGCAGAGCACAGACTGTCTGAGGTTCTGAAGTCAAGCCATAAGACAGAAATTGTCCATGATCAAAATTACTCTGAAAACCCCTTGGGAAGACGGCATCTCAGTAAAATCAGTGCATCTGTTCCTCCTGTATCTTCAGTCCCTAGGACGGCTCTTCGTTCTACCCCGAGAGCCGCATGGAAACAGAGCAACTCAGGCCCCAGCAAATGTGTGTTTCCTGCTCCCACTCTCCCGGGTGGGCGTCCACATTCTTATTCTCTCTCTTTCTCTCCGTTGCTTCTTGCTCCCCTCCCGTCCCTCCCGCTCCCTCCCTTCCTTTCTCGCCTCTGCCCTCTTTGCTGGCTGTCCACAGTTGTATATGCTGCAGTTAAATGCCTAAAATACGGGACTGGACAATCCTCCCACCTACCTTTATCAAAGGGCCTGGCTCCCTCTGCTGTTCTGTTTTTAGTTCTGTTATTAAACCTTCTTCATAAGGATCAAACAGCGAAGTATTTAACACATTTCGGATGGGACACCGTTCAGAGTCCTGTAGGGTGTGCTTGGTTATAAACAGAGCTTGGAGCAGAGGGCTTAGAGGACCAGGGGCTGGGACACTTTTCTTAAAGGGCACAGAAAGGAAGAGCCCAGGCCATTTGCTGGGCAAGAGCGTGGTCCGGGTGCATCCTGCAGTGAAATTCCCGGCGTATCTTCCTCCTTCCTGCACACAACAGACGTGCATTCATACCCAGAGCCCTGATGTCGCCACCAGTCAGGATGCTTGGTTAGTGAGAGGTGGAGCAGGTTTTAATAGGAGGTTACATGACCCACTACAGTGCCACGAATGACTCTTCATGTGGTGCCATTGCTTTGCAACCTTCAGCACATACCGTGTCTTTCCGCTTCCCTTACAGGGGTGAGTGCCCTGCTCTCCTGGTCCTCTCTGTCCTGGGCCCTGGTGTTCTATGCTCGTGTCACGGACTTCATGAAGCCGGGCCCCCTGGCCACGCCATGGGCTGCGCTCTTGTGCCAGCAGCTCTGGAGGATGGGCATGCTGGGGTCCCGCGTGCTGAGCTTGGTGCTGTTCTGCAAGGCTCACCACGTGTGGGTTCTGGTTGTTGGAGGTAAGCTGAGTGAGCTGATGATGTGGGCATTTATTACTGCAAAACAAACCACCCCAGAGCCGAATGCCTTAAACATAATCATGTGTGATCATCTACCCAATTCAGGGGGCCCACTGGGCTCTGCTGGGTGGTTCTTGCTCAGGGTCTCCAAGGTTGCACTCAGGTAGCAGGTGTCCAGATTCACGAGGAGGCTTGACGGGGCTGGATGTACAGATGGTGCCTTCTCTCTCATGAGGGGCGCCTCGTGGTCCTCCCATGGCAGCGTAGCCTGGGCTCGTACTTAGAAGCTGATAATTCCACAAGAGAAGAAGTAGAATCTGCCAGTCTTAAAAAATAGGCCCAGAACTGCTTCTGTGTATTCTGCTGGCCAAAACAGTCTCGGCCAGCCCAGATTCAAGAGCATGGTGGAGCAGACTCCGTCCGGCTCCCAAGTAGTAAGTGTCCAGGGCGAGAAGGCTTACGTGCTGCTCTCTTGGAAATACGCTGCCGTACACGTCCCAGCCCTCAAAGTCCCAGCTAACCCTGGAGCATGGGATTGCCCCGAAGACCGTTCTGTGCCATAGGCTGAAATCTTTTCTGTAGCAAAGCTGTCACTCAAATGGGAGGGAGGTACAGGGTCCCACCTGCCCTTACGCAATATATAATATACAGTATATAGTGATCCTGCTCATAGCCTCCAAAAGTGCACCATTTCCTGTGAATGCTGAATCGTGGACGTCTTCTCTGTTCCAAATAGGACAGCTCCCCTGGACCCCAGCCCTCCCCCTCCCCCAGTCTAGCTGCACACAGATACTTGCGGTGATGACAGGAAGTCTGTCTGGCCATTCATGCTCCCTGAATAGGGCCTGTGTGTTCCTGCCAAGGAAAACTATCTTCTCTGTCACCAGTGAACATACTTTGCAAGAAGAAACAGTGTACTCTTGTTTTAAGAGAACTGGAGACACTGGGAAATATTTGGCCCGTGGGCCTAAGAGCAGACATTAAATCTAGTTATTGGCAGAAAAGAGAATTTTTTTAAAAATTATACTCCTAAAGAGAGATTAGCTATTTTTTTCTCCTTTTTTCTAAAATTCAGCTTGAATTCCAGAATATTATTTATTTTAAAAAACAGTGGACAGTTTTATAACTGCCTCCTTAAACACTTTCTGAAACCAAAAGGGCGTAAGTCTGTAATATGAGTATTTGCTCAGCGTTGCTGAATCTGGTCTTTGTTCTCTCCCATCTTCACATGAGGCCAAATGCCCTTTATAAGGATCAGATGGGATAATTCGTGCAAACATAAACTAGGTGGCCTTTCTGTGCCACCCGAATCTCTTCGGGGTTTTGACGGCTCTCCTTGGATGCTGAGCAGGATGTGGCTGGAGCAGAGAACAGAGCATCTGGCCCTGGTCTCTGTGTCCTTGCCTCGCCCCACGAGTGTCTCCACGGGGACCCTGACCTCTGCCTCTCTTCAGGTGCCCACTGGCTGGGGATGACCTTCTGGCTCGTGGCCCAGCAGAGTGACATCGTCGATGGCACCTGCCACTGGAGGCTGTTCAACCTGCTCGTGGGGGCTGTGTACATCCTCTGCTACCTGAACCTCTGGGACAGCCCTTCCAGAAACAGGATGGTCACCTTCTACCTGGCAAGTGGCATTGGCCGTTCTCTTTAATCCTGACTTTTACGGCATACATAGCATGTAGTGTATGTGCATGTGAGTGCGTGTGCACACGTGCATGTGCATGTGTGTATGCATGTTTGTGTGCAATCGTCCATGTGCGTGCGTGCATTGTGTGTGCGTGCGTGCATTGTATGTACGTGTGCATGTATGTGCGTGTGCATGTGCATGCATACCTAGAAAAGAAGGAATAGCCTAGTTTTAGAAAAAAAATTCTAAAAGGAATTACAAGCCCTGAGCAGAGATGACGGGCTTTGAGAACAGGAACCTGACATCAGCTGTCGCCACACCGTGGCTGGCAGCGTGTGGTGTGTTTGGTGCCGTCATCTCTGCGTCAGCTCATCACAGCTCCCCTGAGTCATGTCACACACCAGTGTCCTCGCTGGTCACCTCAGTTCTCGTTCGGTGTATTCCCGAGGCCCAGGCGTGGTCCTGGATGGTGTGAGAAGCGTGAAAGGCGGCCTAGGGCCTGTCTTCAGGTCCAGGCCTGTCTTCTAGTCCAGCAGAGGAGATTTCTATGCATTTAAAAAAAATTTTTTAGTATTTGGTAAGTATAAGTACCCAAATAACTAAAAAATAAGGCAGAACGTGGGTTGATGCCAGGAGAGAGAGACGTCTGGGGCTCAGGAGCACCTGCCACGCCACTGCCCGGCAAGGTGGCCCGAGACGTGTCCAGTCGGAGAGTATGAGTTGAGCCAACTGTGACGAGCAAATGGGAGAAAACACAGCCGGGTGGGGCAGGGGCCGGGTTTTGGAGTCAGTCGACCTCACCCCAGACCCTAGCTGTGCCGACTGCTGCTACTGACTGACTCTGGCCCAGGATTTAAACTCTCTAAACCTATTTACTCATCGGCACATTAAGAATATGCTGTCTACGTCTCGGTGTTCCTGCAAAAATTAAACAAGATCCACCTGCTCTTCAGGGAGATCTAGTGGAGACCAGATAAAGTAATACACGCAGGTGGCCGGCACAGAATAGCCCCACACGGTGGCCACGATTGAGGTGACAGATGAGGAGACTTTCCAGGGCAGGAGGCTCCCGGGGTGGAGACAGGCAGGGACGCAGCTCTGGGACAGGGACAGGGACAGTGGAGAGTCCTGGCCACCTGCCGCTTTCAGGACCCATGCAGCTAGCTGACCCATGGGCTGCGGAGCCAGGCAGGCCTCACAGGACACATGAAAACCGAGAATAACAACACACCTGTCACTGTGGGGGGGAGAGGTTCGCGCATGACAGGTCCCAGCCACGTGACCACCCGTAAACAAAATGGAGCATGGATTTTCTCGTCCATTTGCAGAGGCAGTTTATTCCTGTGTGGGCCCCACCTGCCCACGCCCATGTGAGCAGGAGCTCAGGAGGAGGTTGATGACCCCACTGCCTCGCGTTGGTCACATTGTGGGGGACACGCGAGGACACCACCCCCCACTCGGGACCCGCCAGATGCCTGAGTCCCCTGAGCCGTGCCTGTGGTGCGTCCGAAAGCACTGCCTTCCGCTGCGGGACCCCGGGGCAGGCCCCGCCACAGCCCTTGGGACAGCAGCATGCACGGGAAGAGGCTGAAGGGTCCCAGGCCCCATGGGGGTCCCAGAAAAAGCAGCCCCAGGTGCACGTCTGGAAGCCCCAGCCCCAGGCCAGCCAAGCCTCACCCACCTGCCCTGGACCCACGGCCGCAAGTGGGAGCACCCCACCCCACACACCTGCGAGTGAGAATGTGAGGTTGGGACTGGCCTCCCAGAAGCATGTGGAAACCCCTATTCTCTACAAACAGTTGCGCCCAGATTTGCAGCGAACGGTAATGAGTGAGGGGAAGGCCGGCCGCCCGGGCCGCCCCTTGCCTGGGCACTGTCATTGCTGCGCCCCACTTGGGAGGCAGGCCCTGCTTGTGTCTCCTCCCCACGCACGTGGGAGCCATGGCTAGAAAGTCACAGAGCACAGGCTTCACATGAAATCCTGACAGCGTCACCAGGTAGCTGGGGGTCCCTCAGGGGCCTTTGTTTGCATGTTTGTGAGGGGATGACCCTGATATCCAGCTCTCGGTGGCAGTGTGAGGATCACTTGTCTGTTTGTTCACTCATTCCCTTCGTGGTTTCAGGGAGGTTTGACACAACTTAAAGCAGGTGTCTTCAAACTTTTTAAACAGGGTCCAGTTCACTGTCCCTCAGACCGTTGGAGAGCGCGCACTGTGGGCCCGGGACGGGTCAGCTGCTAAGCAGGACAGGCAGTGGCGGCAAAAACACTGGGAGGGCCGGATAAATGACCTTGGCGGCCCGTATGTGGCCCGTGGGCCGTAGTTTGAGGACGCCTGATCTAAAGGAAAGCAAAGATGAAAACAGCAGTGAGAGCTGCGCAGGGCCGGAAAGGGAGACGAGAAAAGTGTAGGAGAGAGACCCCAACCCCGGCCTCCCGGGGGGCCACGGATCTGGCCTCAGACTTGCTGGCAGTGTCCAAAGGACTCTGGTGGCCCCGGAGGACCCAGCGCTCAGGTGCGTGGGACCTTGGCAGACGGAGCCCCACCCCTCTGCCCTCTGCACCTGCCCATTTAGCGATTACTCAGTGTCCCCAAGCCGCTCCCGCCGGGAGAAGGTGTGAGGCCGGGCGAGGGGACATCTCTGTTGCGTCTTCAGTGTGACAGACTCTCGTGAACACAGGGCTGGGGGGACCCCCGTTAGAGGGGAGGTGGCACGGCCAGGTGGCACGGCTGACGGTGACGTTGCCAAGGCCAGCCCCAGGCCTTCCATCTTCCAGTCCAGGCCTCTCCCCAAGGCACCTCAACAAGGGCCCGGAGTTGGGGTGGGGGGCTGCCCGCCTTGTCCCCTCATCAGACTCTCCACCCACTGACGGGCGTTTGTGTCCCTGGTGAGCTGTGCCCCAACAGGAAGTGACTTCTTTTGGGTGCAGTATATTCTGTTGGCAGAGAAAGAGTTAATGCCACTCTAGTCTTTTCTGTTTCATTTTGTTTTTTAGCTCCAGGAGGGAATCCCCCTTCTGAGGTGTGTTGGCTAGTGTCCTAGAATAGGTCTGAGTTTTAAGAGTTCAATGGCTTTGCTCAAGGAATGAAAATATTAATTTGTCCGCAGGCCAGAGCAGTGACCTCTGGTGTCATTCTTTGATTCACTCAACAAACACAAGAAGCTTTTTTTCCCCCCTGTGGTTCTGTGCAGGGACTTGTCTCTCTCTTCCTCTGGCTTCCCTATTGGCATCTTCGCATCTTGGGGACAATAATAAAATTGTAAGGAACAGCTGACACTTTGGCAGGATAGATAGGCAAAAGGTGCTGGGGTCAGGACAGACGTAAGAATTTGAACCCACAGACCCAGACAGCCGGCAGGATGTAGTTGGCTGTGGAGTAGAGATTCCAGGGTCTCTGTGTGGAGCTCCCAGGCGATGCCACTTGGTACAGAAATGCGCAGAAAGGCAGAGGGATGTGGGGAGTTCTTAGGACTACCAGGCAGCTTCTCGTAAGTTTATACTTCGCTCCTTATTTGAATCATCCAGAGTTAAAAATGAAGCCAAGGAATTGCCATGGCAAATCTTTTGGAGACTTTTAGCAATCAGTATTATATAATTTATGTTTTATTTTTTAATGTCTCATACATAGTATTTAAATACATCTTTGAGTTGTGTCAACTTGATTTACTTATTTTAGTAAAGAAATATATTTTTATACTTAAACGTTGGAAAGCAGAGTTATATTAGTAAAAGCCGGCCCAGGTGTTGTGCATAGCCTTCTAGGAGAGCCACGGGTGTGGCGCCTCCCTGCTGCCACCTGGTGGCCGTACGGCAGATTTGCCTGCAGAGAGGCAAATACTTGGAAAACAAGTATTCTAAAGTTGTTATAAAAGTTTGTGACTCCAGCTTCCTTGCATTCAGTGGCACCATGAGCTCTGCAGAGACTTTTAGTGGTGATGTTATAACACTAACACGTGCCAGCAGTTAGCATGAGTAGCATGAGACGAAGTAGGAAAAAAGTAGGAACTAAGGTGTCTTCTCCCAGCCCAGCCTGGCTGGCCAGAGGAAGCAGGGAGAGGGGGACCTTACCTGTCCTGGGCATTTGTGATTCTGCAGACAGTTTAATGAACTGAGAACAGGGAGACTCTCTCTTTGCCAGAGATGCTCTCACTGGGACCACGGCCCCACTTCTGGGAGGGCCCCACCAGCCTGGGTGCCCCGGTGGCCTCCAAGGACAGAGGGGGCCATAAGGGATGGCCTCAGACTCACAGGATGGGGAGCCTCTGTGGCCGCATGCACCTGTCCAGGTGTGGTGACTCCCCTCTGTCCCACAGGTGATGCTGCTGGAGAATGTCATCCTTCTGCTGCTGGCCACAGACTTTCTCCAGGGTGCATCGTGGACCAGCCTGTGCACCATGGCGGGAGTCCTGTCTGGCTTTCTCATTGGTAAGATCCAGTGTTGCCTTATCTGTGTCGATCTCCCTAGTCTATTTTCTTACTCCAAGGGCAGGAAACCAAACTCAGATGGGTGAGCTGGAGATCGAGGGACGGAGCTCGATACGCAATGGGCGGCGAGGCCAACCCACCAGGCATGAGCCACTGAGCTCTGGTGTGGCTGCCTTGCTCAGCTGTGCTCGGAACCTCAAGAGGGCTGTCCTCTTCTGCCCACAATGTCTTGTGCACAGGGACCCCTCCCTGGAGCTCCCTGCAGGGTCCAGGACATGACTTCCCGCTCCCCCCGCCTCAGGGAGCTCTCACGTCTCCCTGACACGGCACCCGTGCTACACGTTCACTTGCACCCTGGGAGGTGGGCCCTGTCATATCCCAGTTTAGAGTTGAGGCCCATGAGGCATGGAGGAGGTTAAGTCTGCAAAAGACCAGTTTGTGGGTGGCAGAGCCGAGATTCAAACCCAGCTTACACGTGGGCGTCAGCGCAGCACCCGGCAGCTCTAGGTGACCACTACATTTTATGAGTGGATGACACCAAGGTCTGTGCCATGCCCACGGTGCTGGCCCTGCCTCCCGGACCCGTGTGAGTTCAGCACAGCATTCCTCTCCTGCACTCGAAACATAAAAATAAAAAGTGCTGAAGCCAGCAGCTCTCCAAGCACAGCGGGCTTCATGCCACCTTCTTCCCCAGGCCTGTGGTGGGACCATCCAGGCCAGCCCTGCAAGTCTCAGGCGATGCCTGAACCATCCCTACAAAGTGGCACGTCCTGGAAGCCGCCACACCAGTTTCCCGCCCAGTTTCGCTCCTGCACAGTGTCGTCACTCTCAGCATGACCCACCCATCCAGGAGGATGGTGACGGTGTGCCGCTGCGGGCGGGTGACCCGCAGGCTGGAGCCAGCCTCTCCTGGCGCGCCCTGGCCCCAGGTGAGCCTGGGAATCCTCAGCAGATCACACACCAATTATAGTCCTAGGACCTCCTGCTCTTATTGAGCGCTTACTGCATGCTAGCCTGGGGCTACAACCTGCAAAGGACAGGCCTCTGGGGAAGTCTGTCTCCACTGAATACCTACTTGGGCTTCTGTCGTGGGAGTCTTGGTTCGTCTTTCCTGCCCTGGGGCGGCTCATTGCATAAGAAGGGTGACACTATGTCCCTCACTGGGCAGTGGTGAGATTCGAAACTGTGCAGAAGCTGTTCGAGCAGGGCCTGCTGCAGAGGCAGCACTGAACACACAGGCCTGGAAGGTTCTGGGCTTCAGCCCGGCCAGGTACCTTCCAGGCCTCTCTACCCCACCCCAACCCCCGACACCGGAGCGGAGCCGCGGAGGTCGCCCTTCCCCGTCCCTCTAGCACCATCACACCATGGTCCCCTGGCCCCCGCGGATATTATTTCAGGATTTGTGCCGTCTCTAATGAGCACCCTGAAACCAGGCACTTTCTCCAGTGCAACAGGAAACTGGAAATAACGTGGGAGGCTTACTGGAATGCTCTGCAAAAGAAATCATTGCAGCAGTCAACACTTCTGATCAAAATACACGGACAACAATGGGATTAAGATGTTTATGCACAAAGGAAGTGGTGTTGTTGTTGTTCATGGAAATGCCTTGATACGGTTTTTGATAAGAACGATTAACCTCTGCTTGGGGCTTGCTTGTTTTCGAGGTTATTTTTTACCTCCTCCCCCACCCCCAGCTTTGGAGCTGTCAGCCAGTGTGTTGACGGCTGAACCCCGAGTGTTTGGTTCAGCGGCTGGAAGCAGAATTTACATTTCTATTACGCCTGCGCACGCACACGCAAGCGCACACACATGCAAGCGCGTCTAGAGCGCCCGATTGGAGCTGCTCTCAAAGAGGAAGGCGTAGAACCAACGGGATTGGAGCTTTGTTGTCACCTGTTCAGGTTTAGGAAGGTTTGGCAGTTTATAGAAGCTGGAGCCTGATTAAATTCTCCCCGAATATCCAGTTCTGAGCATCCAACAGGAGGCCTCATTGGTTTCCCAAATTATGTTGTTCCCCTCAAAAGACTCGGACTGCAACTCTGCAAACGCCGGGGAGGACGCAGGACGGCACAGAGCATAACCTTGCGCTCTCTTTTGTTTTCTTCCTCAGGCAGCGTGGCGCTGCTCGTGCATTACAGTCTGCTCCACCCAAAATCCGCGGCCATCCGGCAGGGCCTCCTGCGGACATCCTGTGGCTCTGCAGGGGGTGACACGGCAGAGAGAGGATCTTCTCCCCAGGCCACAGCTCCGGCAGCGGGGAGAGCCGGGAGCTCCGTCTTGTGCCAAGGGGAAGGTTATGAGCCAACACCGCTGGGGACGCCCCCCAGCCCACAGCCGGGCTCCCCAGGGGCCGGGTTGCGGAGCCACGTCGCCGGGGAGGACTCTTTCCTGAGTCACCACCACTGGCTGTTGGTAAAACTTGCCCTGAAAACAGGAAACGTGTCCAAGATCAACGCAGCCTTTGGAGAGGACAGTCCCGGCTGCTCCTGGGGGCTCAGTCAACACCACAGTGTGCAGAGGAAGCCCCTGTCTTCCCAGCTGGTGCCCCCATCCTCGCCCCGTGACCCCCCAACCTCAGAGAAAGGCTCTGAGTTTGAAGGTGTCCCTAAAGCAGACCCTGACCCTTTGGAAAGCTCAAGTTATGTCTCTTTTGCCAGCGATCTTCAGGACAAAGTGCCTCTTGAGAGGCCGTCAGCTGCACGGGGAGAGGGCAGCCCGGAGGAGGGGTCCACAGCTGTCCCTGCGGCACAGGGGCCGGGAGCCGGGGGGCAGCCATGGGTGGAAGAAGGGCAGGAGGGCTCCACGTTGTACTTCAGTGCCACGGCGGAAGGGGCCAGGTCCCCACACAGAGAAGGCGAGCCAGCTGTTCCGCAGAGGGCCCACTCGGGGAGGAGATTGGGGAAGGACAGCCCTGCCCCACCTGCCTGGCCTCAGCCTGTCACTAAGCCCTTTCCCGTCACCATGGCTGACATCAGCCCCATCCTAGGCCCAGGCCGGGGTGGAGGCTCCTGCCCCAGCGCAGACCCCACTAGGCAAGCCCTGGGCAGCCCAGAGCATGGGGAGAGTCGGGGGCCCACAGGGGACTTGAACCGCCATGCCACTGCGGGCCTGCGGATGCCACTGCCAAGGACGAGACCTGCAGAGGGGCCCTGCCTCACGTCCACCCCTGAGTCCGAGTCCCTACAGAGCGGCTGCAGCTGCAGAGAAAAGACGGAACAAGACTCTAGTTTTTTCATCTGACTGGTCATGTGGGATAAGACGACGAATCATGCTGGTCGCTGGGTCTGGTGACAAGAGGAATCCCACCTCCGCCCTCGGCCACATCCCTTTCTCCTCTGGTCTCCACCTGCGCACCTGGAAATAGGGGGGATCGGGTGATCTTCAGGGTCCCTGTGAACACCGCAGGCGGCAGACACGCAGAGGGGAGACTCGAGCACAGTGGGGAGGGAGAAGGCTTCTGTCAGAGTCACCTGCTCCTATGGACTATGATGACTCCTATTGTGTCTTTTTGCCGTGGCTTCTAGGAAACTCAAAAGTAAAACCCAGACTCCATTTTATCCTGGGTTCTTGTTACAATTTGCTTTTCCCAACAGTAAGTGGATATTAATCTCTTTTTTTAAAGAAAGGCATTCTAACTGTGTGATTTTATGAAATCTCATCATAAGATAATGTGACTTCTTTCTGGAAGTGTCTGAGAACCGTATGCTGGTAATCCTCAACAGAACTGAAAATGCAGGGGCCATTCTGAGGGCCCTGTCTCTCCTCAGCAGAGCCTACAGGACACTCTCCTGTCCCGTGCACAGCTCTCCTTGCAGCCACTAGCCAGCACTCTTCGCCAGCCCCCAATGCCTCCATGCACCCCGCTTTCTTCATGTGCAAACTTCATGCCCTCCTCCCTGCCATGTAAGATACTGCCCGTGGTTTGAGCTCATCCAGCGAAGGGAAGCAAACGTCCCATTGCCCTTGCACTCTCCCTTTCTGACTCTTCCTCTTCGAAGTGCACTTTGTGGATAGGTACTTCTTTCCGCCTTCCTTCGTAGCTGGTTAAGGAAGTCCAATCACAGACCGCCAAAAAGAAAGGCACTCAGAGGGCTGGGTACCGTTTGAGGGTGGGTAGTTTTCATCCTCTCCAAACACCTTGGGGTTCAGGGACAACATTAGAGCCCTAAAGAGGAAGCGCGGGGTAACTTAGCACAGCCTCGCACTTGAAGGGCGTGTGCAAACATCTCAGACTGTCAGCCTCCTCGCTGCCGGCCCCGCGGGCCAATCAGAGACAGCACACAGGTAGCCGAGAACTTCTGGTACAGCAGCGAAATAGAAACTCGCGAGTTTGTTAACAGAACAAACCTGTTCACAGTTACATTCACTGTACTATCAGAACATCTCAGTTTCCCCTCCTCTCAGTGTCTCAGCCCCAGGTAAGGACTCGGGCCTCTTCCCCGAATCCTAACCGACCTCTCCTCTCCACCTGTCCCTCAAGACCCTACTGGAGCATCACCTCCTGGGCACCTTTCTGAGGCTCCCCCCTCGCCCGCTGCCCCAGCTATATCCTCTGTCCTTGGCCCTCTGGTGACCTCTTCCTAAACCAGAAGCCCCACTCCCCTGAAGGCTAATTCAGGGGTTCCCCCTTAACTCTGAGCCCTGTGACTCCAAGGCCCAGCAGAGTGACTGGCACAAAGTCAGCGCCAGGACGTTACAGGATGCATTAACTAATCTGTGACTGTTGGTCACGAGTGCGGTCGGGGGGCATCTCCTGGTAAGGAAGTATTTTGCCACTGGGGGGGATGGGAACGGAGGGGATGTCAGGAATTTGCTCATTCTTGTCAAACTTTCTAGCCTTTGAACAGGCTAGAAAGCTAGATGTCTTCTCCATTCACTGATTCATTCAGCAAGGCATACCGAGCACAGCAGGCACTGAGTATACAAAAAATCAAGGTGCGCGCTTGCCGTCCAGGGCTCAGACCATCGTGGGCCTCTCCAATGGCCTGTTCATTTCACACGTCCAGAAAATGTGTCACCAGGTGGTGAAAAGAATCAGAAAATATATCTTTGTTTATAAATAAAATATAGACATATATACAAATATAAAATATATGCAAAATATATTTATATTTGTTAAAGACTAAGAAATGGACACAATTCAAGAATGCTGGTCCCTCAGATCACAAAGCCACACCGGAGAAAATGTGGCACGTGCCCCGTGGCGTCTGTGGGGGAAGCGAGGGGTGGGCTTGTCATGGAGTCCCCTCTGAGATGGCTACAGGCCCCTGTGGCAGGTCGGCCCAATGTGCTGTCACCTCCTCGGGCGGCGGGGGCCTGAGGGGACACTGTCAGGCCCTCAGGCAGCACTGCCCACTGCCCACGGGGTCCTGGTCGGCCGAGCTGTGGGTGAGGACGGCAGCCAACCCACAGTGACCAGCATGAGGAAGCCAAGAAAATAAACACCCTGTCCCCCTCCCACGAGCACAGCCACGGGCCAGACCCAACCGGAAGCCAAGGACGCGGAGTCTCCACACCGTCTATAAAAATCAGCTCCCGTAGCCCAGCTCGGGGTGCAGAGTTGGCTGGCTGGAAACAGCTGGTGCGGTTACTGCCCAGAGACGCCGGGGACGCCTCTCACACGCCGCAGACAGCTCCGCGGCGCACAGATGGCCCCTGCGCCGTGGCCATTTAAAATGTGTGTGTCCACTGCTCGTGCACATGCAGATAAAATAACATAACTTACGTATTGATTCCTTAGATCGTGGACTGCTGGTAGGTACCTTCCTACAGCCTTTGCAGGCCTGTCAACACAGCTCACTGTGGACACTTCGATTAAGGAGCAGCAAAATAAGAATGGAAATTTTACACCTTTTGTCCTCCCGTGACAACAGGAGACAGCCTAGAAAGAAGATGATTTTTGCAGACCCTTTGATAGTTACCTTATAAGATAAATGGAGCTGCACATCTGCAGAAGAATCAGCTATGACTCTTAGTTGGATTAGGTTCTTTCTTTAGAGGTGTGCAGATTAGTTTCGGCTGCATCACATACAACATGGAATGAAGCCCAGCGACCTAGCGCGGCAAGCGTGTGCTGTTCACGGGGCCTCTGCGCAGGCTCTTCTGAAGGGTGTGGGTCAGGTCACGCTGCTTGCATCCCAGGCTGCGGGGTGATGGCCAAGCTGGGCACGTCCTTCTGGAGGCAGAGGGACAAGGGGACGCCTGTAGCTCACTGCCACCCTGCACCAGGCTGTGGCCTCAACATGCCTGACTTCCCGTGGCAGGAAGCGCATTCTTTCCGTGGACGCGCGGACAGAACAGGAGAAGGTCACTATCTTCTCACCCTCCCTGTTCCTACATCGTACGACCCTGGAATTCATAGTGGTGGAAGTTATAGCCACAGAAAGGGTCAATGCACAGCTTCCCAAAGGCTCGGGATGTATCAATCCAAGCACAAGTTCTGAACGTGTGCTTCATAAAGCCAGAAATAGGTTTAACATTCCTGTCCCGAAGGATCTGTTTTCATAAATCTTTTTGATTTACAAAAACCAAATTGACATTTTGAAGTCGATGCACATTTTCTCCTGCTGCTCTGCACAGTGGGGGGGGGGGGGGTGGAGGAGCAGGAGGAGGGGGGGGAGGGGAGTTCATCTGGCTCTTGCATGTCCATTTTCGCCCCGGGTTTGATTCTGTATTTCTTTTTCCCTTTACCCTCGCTCAGCCTGCCTATTCCTAACCGTCAGCAGTTTTCACAGTGCTTGGAGAGGCAACAAGAGCAGCCTGGGAGATCTGGAGAAGCTTGGGGAAGCAGGGCCCTGGAGTGAGGCCCCGTCAGGGCCTGGACGGGAGCCTGTGCCCCCCCCATCAGCCCGACATTCCTTCTCTCTTGCGCCCTGAGCCTGCTCATTGCGAAGGAAAGAGGTTTTCAAAGAACCTTTGAGAGCCTGTTAGGAGAAGACTGGAGAAGTGAGACCCCCTGGGGGGCGGGGCGGGGCGGCCTCGTGGGAGGGCTCAAATACCCATGAAATGTGCCATTCTGTTCCTGCCCCTGGATGACCCAGCATCATCTGCTAACCCGTGACATTGTTAGGCACGACAGCGGCTTGTTCGGTTTTTCATATGACATTCTGCCGTGTCAGGCATGAGATCTTAACATTCCTCTCGAGCCCTTGCCTGAATCAGTTCTCAAGCTAAACACTGGTTCCACGAAGGTATTTTTAAGCACCAAGAAAGGATCTTACTTTAAAACTCAGTCTTGTGGCTTTCTTTAAAAGAGAATATATATTATTAATACTTTGCTGTCCTCCCAATCTTGATTCTATTTTCCATACGATTTAGGAGGACCAACCCGCTGCCCTGGCTTCCCCAGGACTGAGGGGTTTCCTGGCATGCACGATTTTCATGGTAAAACTGGATGGTCCCAGGCCAGTTGACATAGTTGATCACCCTAATACCAGACAGCTCTAGCCAATGTTTCTACTTTAATGTAGCCACCAGTCAGAGAAGAAAGAAAATACTCCCTGGCTAAGACTCTGGGAGTTTACTGAAGTCAGCTCCTAAGTCCACCACCAAACTCCCGCCTCCCCACCCCCGTTAATCTCGCAAAAATCAATCTAATGTCTCCCTTGCTAATCGTGACTACCAAAGTCAATATAACAGTTAACTTTAGGTTCTAGCAATGCCAGGAGAGATCCTGGTTTAAAGTCAAAGCTGTAATCCAGATTTTAAGTTAACATCTCTCAGGGAGGAAATCTCCCATGGAAAAATACCATGGAAAAATCCATGGCTTTGACCACACAGATACATTCATTATAGCAAGACCATAATTACAGCATCGCCCGTCAGGGTTTCCATCGTAAATGGGTCTGACTCTTGGCGGAACACAATTCTTTCCAGCTGGAGTAAACCGTGGACAGGTTTTCAGCCCATTGGGGATTTTTTCTGATTTGTTTACAAACTGGCAAAGCTGGGGGTGGGAGAAGGGATAGAAAGAGGGGAAGGTGAGATTGGAAACAAAATAAACACTATGGATTTCTGTTCTATTTATATTTAATTTCTGTTCTTGGTGTGCCCTTTAAGCTGAAGCTAAGAGAACACAAACAAAAACCAAACAACCAAGGCCTACTAAAGGTTACCATGCAGACCCTAAAATTTGGGACTGAAAGGTGACTCTTGGTCTTTAACTTACCTTAAAAGATGGAGAATTAGATCAAAGAAAGGAGATTTACTTTTTTCTTCTTGTTCTTACACCTGAAGTTTGGCCAGACACTGGAGAAAGGAGCTTTGGGCTCACGGTGCCTTTGAGGGAAGAACAAAGTGGGCCCTGAGACCTGGGTTCTCTTCCCAGCTCTCTTTCTAGCTCGTTCTGTGATCACAGATAACTGACTTAATCTCTCTGAGCCTCGGGTTCCTTTTCTGTAAAGCGAGGACGTCGCTCACTGGCCCGGGCAGGCTGCGGAATCCTTATGCAAATCCACTGTGGAAATGAACTGTCTCACCCAAGTGGTAGAATCCTTCCTTTTGTTTCTTTAATGCAGGTGTCCTCAAACTTCGGCCATGAGCCACATGCAGCCTGCCAAGTGCATTTATCCGGCCCGCCCAGTGTTCTTGCCACCGCTGCCGCCTGTCCTGCTTAGCAGTCGGCTCGTCCCGGGCCCACAGTGCGCAGGTGTGGATGTGTGTTGCTCTCTCCAACAGCCGTCCAACGGTCTGAGGGACAGTGAACTGGGCCCTGTTTATAAAGCTTGAGGACCCCTGCTTTAATGGTTCCTCGGGCTGAGCCTCCCAGCTGCCCTCCATAGAGGGGGGAATTAGGGAGTCATCCTGCTTGGCCAGGGGTCTGCAGCTGCCTGGGACTAGGGACAAAGGGGATGCCTGCACCCCCGTCCTGCCTCACCGGCTCATCCCACTGCAAATGCGTCCCAAGGGGTCCCAGCGTGCTTATGCTGGTGGTTTTACAGTGAGTGCTCCAAAGCCATAAAATTACTTAAGGACAAAATCTTGCCCTTGTCTGGTGACCTTGTACTGCACAAAGGGGCAGAAGCTTCCTCCACGGAGTCCGGGGCATTGGGACACAGACCCTTCCCTGGACTTAGGGACTCACAGGTGATCACCATTAGGACTGATGACAAAAGAGTCATTTGACTCTTATGAAGCAGCTAACGCAGCAACTCCTGCTCAAAACAGAGCAGGAATTCCAAAAATGCCAGGCCCCTGCCTTCCCCTCTCACCCCAAGAACTTCGAGGAGCAGTGGAGAAAAGGTGACCAATTCTAGTTATTGATTTTTTTGGTCTGGTTGTTTTAAATGACAGTCACTGCAGAGTGAATGGCAAAGGTTTGCTTAATCAGATCCAACTTTCCATTCTAAACGTCCTAAGAATTTGGAGGGGGGTGTGTGTGTTCGCCCAGGAGGTGATGTGATAGATTAGGAGTTAGGTAGACAAAGGCCCAAGGTGAATTCTGTAAGGTTATAAAAACATTCGGAAGTTTTAGTCATTGTCAGTGAAAATCTTAATCTGGTTTAGTTTTGACTTAGGCTTGAAATGAGTGTCAAGGGCCTTCTCTGCTTTCAACTCCTGGCACCACGGAGCCACAGCTCGAGGCTGGGAAGAGCCGGCTCTTGGCAGAGCGGAGCATCCCAGCGACACGTGGCTCTGCAGTGAAGACGCTGTGCAGCGGCCGCTGGGACGCGCAGGCGATGGAGGGGCTGCTTCACACCCTTGCTTCCAGGGCCAGAGTCGCTGGGACCTGCGGCCCAGCCTGCGCAGGAGGGCCGGCCGGGACGCCCGGGCTGGCAGCGCGGCTGCCTGTGGGCGCCAGGGGGCGCTCGCGCGCTGCCCGGCTCCTGCGCTGCCCCGGCTCCGCCCCGTCCTGGGCCGTGAGCGGGCGGCTTTCAGCCCGACACACCAACGCCCGCGGGCACCGCCCCGTCCTCGGCCGTGAGCGGGCGCTTTCAGCCGGTGTTTCAGCCCGACACACCAACGCCCGCGGGCCCCGCCCCGTCCTCGGCCGTGAGCGGGCGCTTTCAGCCGGTGTTTCAGCCCGACACACCAACGCCCGCGGGCATGCGGGGCTCGGCACGTGCAGGGCGTCTCGCGTTTTCCCGGCGCTGCCGGCCTGCTCGGAGGCGCGGCTCGGGGTTCCTGAGGATAATCAGGCGTGTCACCGTGGTCTTATCGTCCCCCGCGGAAAGGAGCGTGACAGCTTTCCATTTCCAACAGCGAGCTCCCTTGAACGGGAGGTCAGCACTGACGAACATCCAGGACGCTGGGCTGCGGCCAGGGCACTGCCAGGCACGTTCCTGGGGCCCGGTCCGCTGACGCTGACTGTGGGGGACTCATCGGTGTTGTCATTAAGGACAAAGGGGTCATCTTCTGCATCTGTTCAGGGACAGGGAATTCCAGAACGGCCGCCAGGGCTGTGGGGCCCACGCCCAGCTCTGACTCCACAGGCCTGGCGGACTTTTCAGTTTGGTGAGGGGGGTCTGCTCCTCCCAGACAGTGGGATGTTACAACCACTGAAAAGAAGTGAGCTCCCAGGCCACGAAACGACAAGGAAGAAATTTAAATGCGTGTTACTAAGTGAAGGAAGCCAGTCTGAAAAGGCTATGTACTGTGTTTCCCTGAAAATAAGACCCACCCGTAAAATAAGCCCTAGCAGGATTTCTAAGCATTTGCGCAGTAGAAGCCCCACCCCGAAAATAAGCCCCAGTGCTGGGCGTGGCTGCGCGGGTCTGCACAACCCATGCATTTTGTCTCGGAGCGGTAAAGAAGACGAGCAGCCCTTCTCATCTGCCCCATCGTGACAGCTGCCATCCCACAGGTGACAGGAAAGGTGCGGGCAGCCCCACCCACAAGGTTGGCTCCCCTGTCAGGTCCCGGCCATCCTGTGCGTGCTGCGAGCTGAGGCTTTGAGGGGAAAATAACACATCCCTGAAAATAAGCCCTGGGTGTCTTCTTGAGGAAAAATTAATATAAGACCCTGTCTTATTTTTGGGGAAGCACAGTACTGTGTGATTCCAACTATATGACATTCTAGAAAAGGTAAAACTATGGAAACAGCGGAGGATCACTGGTTTCCAGGGGTTTCCAGGGGTTGGAGGGAGGGAAGGATGAAGGGGCCAAGCACAGAGGACTTTTAGGGCAGTGGAATGATTCCACATGGTCCTGAAACCGCAGACTCAGGTCGTCATGCATGTGCCCAACCCCACAGACTGTGCAGCACCGAGAGTGACCCCTGATGTAAGCTATGGATAATGACACGTCCATGCAGGTTCATCGGTTGATCAGTTGCAACAAACACACCCCTGTGGTAGGGGATATTGGTAATGGGGGAGGCTGGGCGTGGGGGCCGGAGGTAGGTGGAACATCTCTGTACCTTTCTCTCAATTTTGCTGTAAACCTAAACTGCTTTAAAAATTAAAATTGATCAAAGTTGGGTTTTTTAATTATGCTTTCTCAGCTGTAAGCCGAAGCACATTCTTGTCGAGTAAAATGCCTGGTTGAGCCTCCGTGGGCCAGGGCTGCAGCTGGTGCTGGAAATGCCAAGTCCAGTTCGCGCGCATCT